TTCCTTTCCTATTATTGCTGATACTCTCTCTACAACAAAAATTTAGAGATAAGGGCAAAATAGTTTCTGCTGGGTATTGAGGGGTGGAAGCGGTAGGGGGTGGGTGGGTGGTAAGGGAGGGGGTGGGGGCAGGGGGGAGAAATGAACCAAGCCTTGTATGCACATATGAATAATAAAAGAAAAATGAAAAAGAAAAAAAAAAAGACAGTACTTGAAACTTTCTCAATAACTAGGAGTTATATTTATTTTACAATCCAGACAAATATAATCATTAGAAAGCATATATGCCCTTGATCTTGTATGATGTGGTTACATTCTTTATACCTCACCAGGTCAGGAACATATTAACTAATTCTAAATAAAATGTAAAGATTCAGCTTATAAGCAAAGTAATTGATTCTTCCTTTGCTTGTTAAAAAATAGTGCCCTCTGGAGGTAGAAACAAAACTAGCATAATTTGAGACCTTTATTTTAATGCATAGAAATTAAATGATATCATAGTGGTTCTAACCATAGGTGTACAACAAAACCACCTGAGGAACTTATTTAACAAGCACACACACAAACTCCACTTGTACCTCCTGACCATAAACATGTGGGTTTTAAATAATATCCAGTAGACAGTTAAACATATTAGTAAACATCTATGATTTTCTGTTGATTATCCATTTTTCCTTCTAGGAATAGTCCCCAAAAACATTTTAAAAACTCATCCTGTTCCCATTCACACCTATGTGCTTTGGGCAATACTGAACCTATATCTAGCTCTAAGGATAGATTCTGATGATTTAAAGTGAATTAGCAATTCCCATCCTCTTACACACAGGGAACTCTACAGCAGTTAGGGCATGAAGATGTAAACTTTCTATGACTAGTCAGCCATTTTGCTAGCAGGAGAGAGCCTAGAACTACTGGGCCACCATGTAGAATCTGAAAATGAGCCAAAACTCATCTGAAAGAGTTAAAAGATGGACTGACTCAGTACTTGTTATTATCTCCTGAGCAGCAGGGTTTAGCCTCATCTGAAATCAGCCCTATCCCTGGATATTTTAGTTACAGTGGCCAATAACATTTCTATTATTGGAAATTTTTTTTAAAAAGACAAGGTCTTGCTCTGTTGCACAGGCTGACTTCATTTCCTGGGCTCAAATGATCCTTTTGACTCAGCCTCCCAAATAGCATCATACTCAACCCCACTGTTTAAGAAAGTTGGACTTGGTTTTCTTGTCAGTTTTCTGTTAATAGCACTGAGCCTATAAGTATCTTATTAAGAAATTTTATTGAACATTTAAGGGGGAAGAAAAGGTTACATATAGTTTTATTCATTGAGAGCAAGAGGAACACTTCTATGATCTTTTACAGGCCTTAAAAATCTAAGGAGGAGATGAGATTGGAACTGTCACAACAAGTGTCCTCTTTAGCTAATTTTTTCCTATTGTAATTCAAGAAACAATGTGCCAATAAGCCATGATTTTCATCCAGAAATTTCTAAATTTTAGTTAGACTACATGTAGCATCCAGCGTATTATCTAATCTTACTACTGATGCTAAACACAGAGGAAAACAGGGAATACTATGTAACAAGACTTAATGTTTAGTTATGATGAGAGAAGGCTTATGATAATGAAATGGACAGGAAGAGGAGGCAATTTAAAAAATCAAATTTCTTAAAGCTATATATATTCCACCAAAAAATTCTGAGATCTGATAAACACTTTCAACTAAGTAGCAGGACACAATATCAACATACAAGAATCAGTAGCTTTTCTACATACCAATAATTAACAGGTTAAGAAAGAAATCAGGAAAATAATCCTCCCCCCCCAAAAAAAGCCCTCAAAAATAAAATGCCTAGAAATAAAGGTAATTAAGAATGTGAGGCCAAGTGCCAGTGGCTCAGGCCTGTAATCCTAGCTACACAATGAGCAGAGATCAGGAGGATCGAAATTCGAAGCCAGCCTGGGCGAACAGTTCCCAAAATCCTATCTTGAGAAACCCTATCGCAAAAAAAAAAAAAAAAAAAAAAAAATGGGCTGGTGGAGTGGCTCAAGGTGAAGGCCCTTAATTCAAGCCCCAGTACCACCAAAAAAAAAAAAAAAAAAAAGGAATGTAAAACACCTAAACAATGAAAACTATAAAACACTGAATAAAGAAACTGAAGACCTTCCATGTTCATGGATTGCCATACTTAACAATGTGAAAATGGATATACTACAGAAAGCAATCTACAGATTCAGCGCAATCTCCATAAAATACCAATGTTATTGTTCACATGAATAGATAAGTCAATCATAAAATTCATACAGAAGCATCAAAGAACCCAAATACCCAAAGCAATCTGAGGAAAAAGGGCAATACTGGTGGTATCACAATACTTGACTTCAAATTGTACTACAAAGCCATAGTAATAAAACCAGCATGGTACTGGTACAAAACCAGACACATACAGGCTGATGGACCCAGAAGTAAATCCACACAGTTATAGCTAGAAGATTTTTAACAAAGATGTCAAAAATATATGTGGGAGAAAAGACAGTCTCTTCAACAAATGGTGTTGGGAAAACTGGACATCCACATGTAGAACACTGAAACTACATGTCTATCTCTTATCTTGTACAAAAATCAATTTAAAACAGATCAAAGATCGTAATGTAAGATCTGAAATTTTGAAACTGCTACAGGAAAGCATTTGAAGATATCGGCACAGGCAATGAGTTTCTGCCGGTTTTTGTTTGTTTGTTTGTTTGGCTGTACTTAGGGTTTGAACTCAGGGCCTCACACTTGCTAGGCAGGTGTGGCAATGAAGGATGCTTTGCCATTTATACGATAGAATTTGATCCTTGATTTCTAAGTAAACTCACGAAGAAGTATGAGATGCCAGCTATGATTTCAATTAAGTATCTACAAGTCCGGAGTGATGGTTCAGCGCTAACATTTCCAAGCATTCTCTTCAACATGCAGACTTTGAGAATGACAGTTCCAGAATCCCCTAATCTAAGAATATCATGTACCAGTATTTTTGTTTCACTGATTAAGAACTAATAACAAAAATTGCTTGAAGATCCCTAGGAACAGATGTCTAGGTAACTCATATTTTAATCAGAGTACTGAATTAGCAGGTAAAATTTAATGTTAATAGTTAAATATGCTTATAATGCTAATTCTTAGCAAATTCCCTTCTTATCATGTATGTATTACTCATACATGGATGTTAGTAGAGAGACTATAAAAAATCTAATATAAAAGCTAAGGATCAACTTGTCCTTGGATAAATAAGGGTTCAAAACTTCAGTCTCTTCCTACTTATGGCACATACATGATACTGTTAAGGGTCTTTTGTAGTTTTTTTTCTCCTACAAGCTTCTTGAGAGAAGGCATAGCTATTTGTGTATTTGGGGTCTAATAGAATGCTCAACATATAACTGATTTACAGTGAGTCACTCTGGGCTAGTTCCTCTAATTCTCATAATAACCTCACACGAGGTTAAACTGTTAATCCAATTTTATAAATGAGAAATTTATAATCATTAATGTTTAAAAACTTGCCCACGTCACATGACAGCCTAACTGCAGAGTATATACGACCTTTAATCATTCTACTATATTACTGAATGAATGCCTACCTTTTCAGGCTTCTCTCTCAGTTTTAATAACTAATTTTGTAAGTCCACTGACTCAGGTATCAGTCTGCATTTGTGTCTTTTGTTGTCAGGATGACACATGAGCTCAAGAGTCATCAGAGGAGCATAAGATTTGTGGGTAGGCAGATAATTTTAAAAACCCAAGGTTGTTTCTAGACTTCACACTTTCAAAGTTTAAGTGTTAACATTAAACCAGTTATTTCTAAATACAAGTAACTGAATTTTTAAAATGTGAATTTTTATAACATAAATTTAGGAAGTTGAGTAATTTATAATATAGAATAGGAAGATGAGAATTCCTTTTAATAGAAAACTTTTAGAAATAGCTATGGGGCTTAACTAGCAAACTCATTTTACAGATAAGAGGTCAGAAAGTGCTTTATTATTAGTTTAATGAAATACTCAATGCAAGGAGATTTACATTACTAGAATATACCAGTGTGATTGACACCTTGATTAAGTTGAGCCCAGGACACTAGTAAAGCACAATTCTGGGTGTGTTTATAAGGGGGAATTCCAGAGAAAATGGGCATATGGGACAGAAACTGAGGGGTGAAGACCATCCCTAAAGGTGGGAAGTACCATTCTATAGCCTAGAGTCCCTCTCCACCCCAAAATAGAAGAAGTCTCTGCTCTCTCTGTCCTGGTTGCCATGAGTGAGCAGCTGGGCTCCACCACACACTCTCTGCCATAATGTGTGGCCTCATCTCAGGTACAAAGCAATGGGGCCACACAACCTTGGACTGTTTCTCACAGCAACAAAAAGATAACTAACACAACCAGTGTCTCATTTATATGACTCCCAATCAATAAAATAAGAAAATAGCTTATAAAATAAACATAAAATTATTTTATCTTGCAGTCTGCTTAAAACAACTATAATTAATCTCTCAGTACATTCCAATGTACTACACAAACAGAAATCTTTTCATCCAGAAAAAGGAAGACTTTGATGACATGGAATAAAATTTATTTTTCTTCAGATCAGAGCAAATAAAGGACAGAAAGCAGATCTCACTTACTTAATTCTTCTCATATTTTTGACTTGCAAGCAAACATAAAATTATTGAACTATGAAACATTCATGGAAAGTCAGTTAGTCTGATTTAGCACTACCATTTGTTGTCAAAACATGAATAAAATGTAACACATTATAGTATATCATTAGATATTTTTCTTCATTTTAATAAGATGTTTAAAAATACCAAAAAGTAACTGACATTTATCTGCTTATTTTAGGCAAGGATTATTTCTAATTCGCAGTGCTTAGGAATGTAATAGAATCATGCATATAATAAAAATTATCTTTAGTCTTTTTCAAATTTTCTAATGAAAACTTTTGGTCAGATTTCTACATACCTTAAAAGTAGAAAGTCCATAAAGTCTTGTGGTATGAACAGTTTCTTGAGAAATATTTGTAATGTTAGTTATAAAGTCCTCAAGGTATTTACAAGCCTGTTCCAGGTGTGTTGTGTTTATGATGATTTGCACAAGCTAGAAAACATGAAATATGTCTGATGAAATACAGGTCACACATATACAAAACCACTCTATTTTTTAAAACAGGCATTATTACTTTTAGCAACTATACCATTTCTCCATAATAGCAATACAGAGTATAAATAATTATCTGACTTCAAAAGTCTGCTGCAAACACTGCTTATAAATGCCAATGTTGTTTAAAAATATATCTATATACCCAGAGTCTAGAGTAATTATTTAAAAAATAACTTTTCATAGTACTTTTCAAATCTTATATATGTAGCAAGTAAAAAATGACTATCCATGTAAAGTCCGGCAATCTGAACTCAAAACATACATCCTTATATCTTCAACTATCTTCTTTTCCCCATGTAAACCCTTTTCCCTCACATTTCTTGGTTTTTCCACTAATGCTTTTTATATTTTAAAAACCTGCTTATAGGCCAGGCATGGTAGCTCAAGCCTGTAATCCTAGATAGCTGGGTGGTACAGATCAGGAAGACTGCAGTTCAAGATCAGACTGGGCAAAAAGTTATTGAGATTCCCATCTCAACCAACAAAGCTGGGCATGATGGTACAAACCTGTCATCCCAGTTACACAGGAAGCACAAGGAGGAAAATTGCAGCCCAGGCTAGCTCTGGCATAAAGCAAGACTGTATCCCAAAAATAACCAACGTAAAAAGGGCTGGCTAAGATGCTCAAGTAATAGAGCACCTGCCTAGCAAGCGTGAGGCTCTAAGTTCAACCCCCAGCATCACCGAAAAAACTGTTTATATTAATAAATTTAAAATATAAAGCTAGTTTTATAGGATTATATTCAGAAATAAGTTATAATAATTTTTTCACATAAGACATTTGGCAGCATGTTTCTTCTTAACCTACCTCTGCCAAACCCATATGAGGTTTTCTAATAAGGTTCAGTAGACAGCTACTCAAAGTTCTGGTCAGCAGCAAATTTGTTGATTTCCTAAGCATATCATCTATTTCTGTTGAGCTAAAAACAAAGGTTGCCATGATTATGCTTTCAAAGGGTACAGTTAACATTGTAAGTAATTTAACACAATGTACTAATTTGTTCCAAGTCATTCTTTTATATCTTTAAATTACAGTAATTCACATTTATTAAAACATAAACTTCAATTTAATTTCATAAAAGGGACATTTTCCACAAAGTAGAATGTTCATTTATGGTATATTTTAATGTATCAAATCAATCACTTCAGAAAAACTATGAGGTACTTAGTACCAAGATTAAACTATTCCTAAATTATGACTCCAATGCAGGACAGTCATCTTGCAAGATACTTCATATATAATGATAGCTAAAATTTACTAAAAATACCAATTGATACAAGTTCTTTCTAGATATAGTTAATGATCAGATTCAATTTAATATAACTAACCTATCAATCTCCATTGAGATTTTTTTCCTAACTTTTAAAAGATATTTAATGACATAAATTACCTTAAGCTAATTTTAATTTGGTACAAAAACCTATGATGCTTGTTAACATCCTAAAGATCGCTGAATGAGCACTAAAAAGCTTATTCCTTTTCTTCTAAGAACTAGGCCTTCAACTTAAGTAAATAATGATTTCTTGGATATGGCCCCATTATTCAAACAGGCTGTTCTTAGATCATGAATTCTCAATGTCAGCACTACTGACAGTTTAGGCTGGGGATAATTCTTTGTTGTAGAGGTTGTTCTGTGCACTATTGGGTTATTTAGTAGCAATCCTGATCCCAACCTACTAGTCCAATAGTACTCCTCCCTTCAGGTATGACTATCAAAAGTTTCTCTAGACAGTGCCAAATTAGAGATTGTAGCAGAGAAGAACAAAATCATTCCAAGTTTAAAACTTCTAAATATAGGCTAAAATTGTAGCACCCTTTTACTCTTTTTTTATTAAAATAATAATCTTAAAAATCTATGAGGCACAAATATTTACTAAATTATATTTATTTTTTAAATATTTATTTTAAATGGAAATACAGCAAGAGCTGATGAAGTACAAACACTTCTCTTTCTACTCTAATGTTCTCCCATTTTAATGCAAGTACCCTTTTTGGGGGTGCTGGGGATCCTTGCACATGCTAAGCTTAAGATTCTCCCACTGATTTATACCTCCAGGCTCCAATGTAGACACTCTACTATTCCTGCTAACCGTAATTCCAGCAAACCCAAGGAGAATATTTCTTCTTCTTCTCTTTTTCTGTCTAGAATTAACATTTCCCAGGAAATGGGCATACCACCATAGGGCTTCAGGGTTACTTGATATCAAACACTAACAGAAAACTCTTTCAAATCTTACCAATAGTGGCCCTAGGGCAAGCCATTTACTCACCCTAATGAAAGAAAAGTGGTTGCCAGCTCCTCTGATTCTTTTCTGACACACCCGGTTTGTGTTTTAAAGACCCCTGGATAGTATCTCTCTCAGATGAAAAGTTAACCTTAATGTCCCGTACTCATTTAAATACTAAGTCAATGCATACTTTTTCTTCCTAAGTAAAAGCAGAGAAAGAAAATCTACCAACACCTGTGTCCTATTTATGCCAGCAAGATTTACCTGACAATGACCAGTATTGTCCCCATGAGATTTTTAATCCCAATTGAGCAACTTTTCTCTTAACTCCTTGCCTTTTGAGCCTATAATTTGTACTCATCTTAATTCTTAATTAGTATTTCGCAATAATTAAAATTTAATACATAATAAATCTAATATTTTATAGCTTAACTTCTTATGAAGACTGAAAATTTCTTAATGATCACATTAGAGTCTAGATTCTTCCTCTGCAAGCAAGCAATTATGAGACTTTGAAGTCTCTGCATGAAGTAATTTCATTCTCTGGCCTTGCTCTTGTTCATACATAAAAAGAAATCTAAGCCAGCTACGGTGGGCCATGCCTGTAATCCCAGGACTTGGAAGGCTGAGTCAGGAAGATTGTAAGTTTGGGGTCAGTCTGGGCTACATATCGAGACTGTCTCAAAAAAAACAAAGAAATCTAAACATTCATACTTATGTTTCAAAAGCTCTGAAGTATCTTCTGGTTCTAAAAATCTTACCTCCAAAATATGTTTATACACAATAAAATAAGGAGTTTTATAAATGCAGAAAGTGATTTTTCCATAACTCTTTAATGTCAAAAAAAAATACCAACTTGAATAATTCGCCTTTAGGCTGTACATGCAGATTTTAAAATAAAAATACCTATCAGAAAACTGATAATCTATAGTAAATTTAAATTTACCTGTCTTTTAATTAACTGTTGTCTATGTCTCCATATTGTGAATTCTTTATTCCTTTCATTAATAAAACTCAAATACTCAGTATATTCAGTAAAGCATAACTTTTTAAAGTATCAACATAAATGCTCCATTGAATAGATAATAATAGTTTATTAGAACTACTTGAAATTGAACAAAAATTACAGATATTTTTATCAAAGATAGAAGGAAAAAACTGGCAGCCTTTTCCATTACAGCATTAGCACACATTTAGAATGTAGGTGTTTATATATAGTCAGAACTGATGCTCTAGGTTTGATTCTAGTTTAGTCAACATTAAAGAGGGTTTCTGGAAAAGTATATATAGTAAAATGATTGATGACTTTTACCCTTGATGTTATAAATGCAGTAAAAAAGTCAGTAATAATTAGAGTCACTGTCTTTCCTGTATAAATAAAACTTAACTCCCAAAATGCTAAATTCTATACTTTCTGCAAGTTTAATATTTTAATCAAGTATGAGTTCCTGTGTTTCAAGAATTAGCATTTAGATTAGATAATAAGAAGTACTTGTTAAAAAATTCAAATTATACACACTACCAATTTAGAAAGTACTAAAGTAATTTACATTTAAAGGGAAAGAAAAAGGGAAATGTGATGTTATAGATTCAGGGATCAATCTCAGGGCTGGGGGGAAGTTCAGTGGCAGAGCATGGGCTTGACATGCACAAGGCTTTGGGTTTGATCCCCAGCACAACATGCACAAAAAGAATGTAATATATTCCACTTAAGCCTGGTTGTAGGATAAATGCCAAAAAAAGGACTTTCTTTTTCCTTTTATTTGCATTTATTTACCTCAAAATAGTACATGAATGCATCCATGATTTTTCAAAGGTAACTAACTATAACCGAAATTTCCATTTTTTGTGAGTATGTAAGCAAATTCAAGTCCACCCAAATGTAAGTCAATTGTTCTCCATCCCTTATTTGCAAGTACTTCAGTTTCAGGCTCCTAAACATTCTTGTACATGTTCCTTCCTCCTTGTCACCACTGATCCCAACAATTTTAGTCATTTTTCATCTCTTTCTTGAATCACCTTGACCTCCTCAACATATCTTTTTTTTTTAAATCCTCCTCCAATCTATCATCCACACTGAGGCCAGAGTAAACTTTCTAAATTATAACTTTACTCACATAATTCCCTAAACATTCTTCAACAGTTCCCCAAAATGCTTTCAAAATAAAATATAAACATACTAAGCTGGAGTCTCACATCTGATATTGCAGGATCTCGTCCTCTCCCAAGACCCACAAGTCTACCATTTCCAAGGCACTACAGGGAGTACATTATGTACATGCATTACCTCATTTCATTCTTACAATCACCCTAAAATTACTTCCTCATTTTAAATGTGAGGAAACTCCAATTTACGGAAATTAGATAACCTCTCCAAGGTCCTACTTAGCCAGTGAGTGCTAGAATCAAGAATCAAACTAAGTTCTGTCAAAATCTAAAGCTTATGTTTTGAAATACTGCATTATTATACTGCTTCTGTTTTAGATCAGAATAGAATGTCAAATAAGAATCAGAACAGGCATGAATTATTGGTGGTTTTCAACCAATTTATGGCCTCAGATATATCCACTACAGAAGCCTATATCCACTGCAGAGTCATTTTATGTTATTCCATTTCAGTTAACACTCATTTGTATTCATTGTTTTCAAAGGCTAGATTGAGTGTTTAATGTTGTATACTACAGAGAATACCTTACTTCTAGTATTTAAAGCTAATGTCTTTAGAGTCTTTGATAAAATTGACTGGTGGAATATTATGAAGCTTAAGCAATAATTCTTAAATTTCTCACCCAGAGAAGTTGGTAAAACTCTGGGCCTCATCATCTGAGTTCCTAATTCAGAACTTCTAAAGACTTCCCCTATGATGCTAATGCTACTGGTCTGGACACTACACTTTAAGAACCACTGGGTTATGGGGACATGTGACAAAGCAGATGCCAGACAGCTGCCTTCCTTTCTTCACCCATTCATACACAGGAATTATGAATTAGAATCTTTTAATGATCCCTATTCATAAGGGAAGAACAATGTAAGACCTGAAATCAAATTCTCCTTTATCCTGCAGAATGCATATTTCTTCTTCCACTTGTACCTTATTTAAATCTAAAATAATAATGCCATCTATACAATAAAATCATGTATTACAAACTGTTATTACCTACACTTTTTCCACTTGAAAAGTAATTGCAATATCTGAACTGCCTTCATGCCTACTTGTTATTTAAAATTCAGTAGTTTTCCAATGAAGAAGAAAATTTCCTGCTAGTCAGCATACAAATGCAGAAGAATGAATTTCAAAGAAAAGGTATTATGAAAGCCAGCATCACCACTCTGTTTTCCAGAGAGTGTTCACATCAGAAATATACCATGACTGTAATGCAGGACCCACCTATGCAGCTGGAACAAGATGTAGCATAAATAACATTAATAATAATAAACTAATAATTAGGAATATAAATGACATTAATGTGTTCTGCTACTATTAACTGACCATTCCTTATGTTCAACACCGCCAGCATTTGCTCAAGTATTTGAAAACAAATTTTGGAAATAATAATCTTTAACCCTTGAATACTTCAGTATGTGCTTCTAAAAACAATGAGGATATTTCATAATACTCACCTTAAGCCTATCTGAAAAAAAAATATCAGATTTTCAACAAGTCAAAATGCAAGAGGTAGAAAGAGGACAGTGGTGATACAGATTAGGACTGTGACTGAAGTGTACTAACTGTAAAATGATTTCTAAGGACAATCAAGAGAATAGTAATACGTACTAGAAAACAGATATGCAATAGCGGCGGGGTTTTTTTTGCAGTACTGGAGCTTGAACTCAGGGCCTATACCTTAAACCACTCTAACAGTCCTTTGGTGTATTGGACTTTTTCGATATGGTCTCACGAACTATTTGCCCAGGCTGGCTTCAAATCACAATCCTCTTGCCTTCTGAGTAGCTAGGATTACAGGCATGAGCCACCAGCACCCAGCTAATACTGTTATTTTTTAAGTGAAGTTAAATAGTGACACTTCATTTTCTTTAAAAACATTCACTATTCAAGGGTAAAAGGTCCCCTATTTCCAGAACTTGCTTTCAAATACTTCAGTAAAAAATCAACAAAGAATATATGATAGTTGGGCGCCAGCAGCTCATGCCTGTAATCCTAGCTACTTGGGAGGATGAGATTGGGAGAATCAAGGTTCCATGCTAGGACAGGCAAAATCCCCAAGACCCCATCTCAACAGAAAAAAGCTGGGTGTGGTGGTGCATGCCTGTCATCCCAGTTACAGTCGGAAGCTTAAAATAGGAGACTGCCATCCAGACTGGCCTGGTAAAAAAGTGAGACCCTAGTTAAAAAAATAACCAGAGCAAAAAGGGCTGGAGGCAAGGGCTCAAGCATTAGAGCATGTGCCTAGCAAGTGTGAAGCCCTGAGTTCAAACTCCAGTACCATCCAAAAAAAAAAAAAAAAAAAAGACTATATGGAAAAAACATTACTGTTTAATATAGTTGCTGAGATCATCGAAGTTTCCTATCAAGTTATCTCTACTTTTAAGTACATTTTAAGACTTACATAATAAAAAGTTTAAAAATACAGTATTATTTTGGGTGACGGAGTGGCTCAAGTGGTAAAGAACCTGTCTAGCAAGCGTGAGGCCCTGAGTTCCAGACCCAGTACCAGAAAAAAAAAACAGTATTAGATTTATTGCAACCATAAAAGTGACTGAAATATGAATAGTAATTCATTAAAAAGTCATGGTATGAAAATAACATATTATTGGTTCACAAAAACAATTATGATAAAGACATATTTCTTATTAGTAAGCTTACCTCCGGTGTAGTGACTCCGAAAACTTAAGGCTGGCATATATAAATTCTTTAACTTGAATGTAAATATGAGGCACTGATTGAGACATGGGGAATTTCTTTGGGAAAGATTGCTATAGAAAAATAAAATTGTTTTTGAAATTTTAGAAAAAGACATTCCAATCACCTAAAACTGCAAAAACCAAGTCAACTTCACATTTGAATCAGTAGTAAATAACTGCATCAAAAATTCTATTGTTGCAGGTATGGTGGTAAATGCCTATAAGGCCAGCACTTGGAGGTAAAGGCAGGAGGATTGTGAGTTCAAAGTCAGCCTACTACACAGTGAGTTTTGAGGCCAGCCTGAGCTACAGTGAGATCCTGTCTACTTGAAAGAAAAAAAAATCTATTATTATGTTTCTATATTATTTTTCATACTTTGAAGAAATACAGATTATTTCAGAAAAAAATGTGTAGCAATTTAACCCTATGCTTAAGTCATATTACTAGATGTGTATCAAGCAGAGACAGCACGTATCATCAGTACCTCTTTATGTTCTGATGATGAGCATGGTGCTGGAGATGCCTACCTATCAGCTTCTTTGTATCTAATAGTAACAAGAGTCAGAATTGCCAATGAAAGTTAGAGGCAAGTTTCCTGGCTCAGTTATTGAATAATAATTCTAAGACTCTCTTCACTTAGCTTCAATTGGCTTCATGCCAATTCCAGGAGACATCTAGTTTATTCTATAATTCCTAGAATATATCTTACGGCAGCTTTCTGATCACTATATTATCAAATAGTGGTATGGATCCAATGGTTCACAGTGTACTTCTTAGCTAAACTTGTTTACTCATCAATATCTGCTTAAAAATTAGTCTCCAAAAAGTAAAATTCCTCTAAGATTTTGGCCCAAAAGTCCCTCATTTATACTTTATGAAGTCTAATCTACACTTCTATCTTGACATTCATTGCAATCTTGTTACATTAGTGAGAGTACGCTCACCATGGTCACCAAATGACTTCCTAGTTGTTAAATTCAGTGGGGCCTTCCAGTTTTTCATGTCACCTGACTTTTCTGAAGTCTCTGACCCTCCTGCTTTCTTAAATTTTTCTCTCCTTGGTATCCCGCCCCACAATGCCTTTCCTTCTATTTTTCTACCTGCTCTATTTCTCTTCACTTACCCATCCTTTAATAATTGTTTGGTCTTAGGATTTTACACTAAATCTTCTTTTCTTCCTCTATAAACACTCATAGGATGATCTCAGATATTCTCATGACTTCAATCACCATGCAAATACCAATATCTCCCAAATCTACAACTCCAGATCAAATCTTACTCTTGAAGTCCAAATGCTTGTATCTGACTATCCACTGAACACCTCCATTTGGCTATATACCATTTCAGACACATAGGTCCCAAAGTGAAGACACCATCTTTTTCTTCTAAACCTGTTCTTCTTGTATCTCCCGTCATAGTGAGTGTTGCCACCATCTAAGGCAGAACTTAATTATTACAGTTGACCCCTTATCTTCCTTATGCCTCACATGCAATCACCAATTCCTGTTATTTCAATATCTTAAATATCTCCTAAGTCACAATCCATGATCACAGCCCCTGTTCAGGCTACCAACCTCTCTCATAAGGGTGTAATGACCTGTCCCTTTCTACCTCTCTAATTACATTTCTCAAACCTCATCTCCTGTATTTCATCAACCTTTTACTTTATATTACAGGATTATAGCCTTTCTGCCTGCAGAAAATGAGACTGACTAGTGAGTATAAACCCTAAATTAGGAGCTGAATCCTAAAAGATACTATAGATATTGGGAACTCCCCACAAGTGAAGTTAAACTCCTTTAGACTACAAATCTATTTAGTATAGTTTAGCATAACTGGAAAGGACATTATAAATATTAATTCAATCTCCTCATTTGACAAATGAAGCACAAATGCTCCAATAGAGTAAGTCACTTGGCCATAGTAAGCCAAAAGCAGAGCTAACATGTGAATCCAGTCTGGTACAGTGCTCTTGATACAGATGCTATTGGCTCAACAAAGTCCTGACCAATAATTAGAACAAAACAAAACCAAGCCATGAGATGGAGAATATTCTGGTAATGTTTCTTAACAGGGACAACACTGATTGGGGTTTCAAAAATATACAATTAGAATAATCATTGCAGCTGTTTTGTGCATTAAAACATAGCTAGAAGGTATATGCAATGGCAACATTAGTAATAATCTATCTGAAAGCTATGCATTTAATCACTTGGTTGTGTATTTAGTGATTATTATTCATAATATGCTTAGTTTATACATAAAAACATACAAAATTTATAGCCACAATTCACTCAATTCAGTCATATTTATTCTGAAGGAATAAAAATATAGAAAAGGGCTAAATTATAAAGAGTTGAAAAATAAAGAAAAGGAGAAAAAATAAGAATAAAGAGAATTTAAAAAGTGATTGTTACAGTAACTATGATATTCTTTTCTTATGAGATCTGTCCTACCCAGTGATATTGGATATGTGCAATTGTACATGATTATGTATATGTGTATGTATGCACATGTATGTGCACTCATTGTGCATCCCAGTCAAACTTCCACACTGGTCTATTTTCTTTCTCTACCTTGTCTTTGTTCAGATATCTTCACTAAAGATACATATTCCTATTTCTAGAAGAAATCTTCAGGTAGCTACTGCCTTCATACATCCTATTTAACCAAGATAACTTTTTTATAGAAATATACTTCTTTTTAAAAGCCACAAAATAAGATCCTCCACAGTGATGTATATTTCAAAGAAATACTCCTTTCTTTCCGTAGAATATATTCTTATTCCTATCATCTACTCAGTATTTCATATATCTAATTTGGATTCTACCCAACATTAGTAACACTTGCACTGGAATCCACCTAACATTTGGCATAACTACTTCTAGTATCCCTAGGAAAGTCCCTTCTTAAATTCATCAAAAATAGTATTAGTAATAACAACAGCATAATCTTTAAAAGTTAAAATATAGTTAATTTTCTCAAATAACGTAACAAAAAATTGCCCTCAAAGAAGTCATTCTTCCTTACCATGTCAGGCTAATTTTATGCAGCAAAATAGATTATGAATTTGTTTTTACAAAAATCTTCATATTAAAAAGTAGTTTGTACCTTTTCAAGGTCTGGATCTTGAAAGGGAAATTTACTGATGACTATTTTATATTCTTCTTCACTGACAATAGGGATGGGGCTATAATTATCTTCTTCAAAAATGTCCCTGTTAAGAAAGGAGAATTGAAAACTTATTACAAAATGTATCATTAGAATGTTATAAAACAGTATGTTTAAAAACCCAACTCCTACAAAAGCATTTTATTTGTCAATTAAGGATCTAAACAAGAAAAACACTAGTTACCCAGAATTCTAAACTTCAGTATCAAGTAAGCCTTGTCCCTCAAAATTCATGTTCAATCTCCTCTTTCTTCTACCTAGTTTTACATCCTCTCAGTACTTTACACTTAATATTCTATTCTAGAACATTTCTCAAATGAACATACTCATTATCACTAACTAAAACATGATCAGATTTCTACAGACAATTTTTAAGTTGTTTGTCCTATGTCTTCTCTCTTCCCAAGTAGACTATAAGTTCTTAAAGATTAAAACAATATGTTTTATTTATTTAGTCTCTCATAATATTATGATTAAAAAAGACATTTTACAGTTACTGAGGCAAAGACATTTACTACTTATCACATATTCACATGCTCTACATCATCTTCTTGTAGTTAGGCAGAGCCACATGACTCATTTGGGCCACTGGGCTGTGAGTGGAAGTGATATGTGTTGCTTTTATTAAGCCAACTGTGTAACGACCCTCCCTTCCAAGGTAACAACAGACACAGCATGTTGAGAAGATACAATCACAAACGCAAGTACCTTGGACCTCTGATTACTAAAACCACTATAGACTACTGTGTGAGTGAGAAATAAAGTATCTTCATCCACTGAGATTTTGGGGATTTTTATTGCTGCAGCATAACCCAGTCTATCTTAAGGCATCTGCTGTCTAATCATCAATTTATTTTAATCAATAATTCAGTCTGACTAATATTTATTGACACCTATTATACGCTAGACTCTGTGATGAAAACTCCCTGCCTTATGAAGATAAAAACAAGGTATCTGTTTCTGAGCCAAACAGGAAGGACAGACATGCAAACAGATTAAAATGTTTATAATGCTGTGTTATACATACAATAAGAAAGGTATAAGGTTCATAAACAGGATGAAGGAGTTTATAGAGTTTATAGGAATATCTCGAAGAAAGTTTTACAGAGAAACTATGGACTCTGTAGGGTACTGAAAGATAAAAAGAAACTTTCTGTAAGAATATGGGAAAAAAGCACTTTGCACAGAAAATACTGGTGCAAAGGTATATGGAGTGAAAAAGCCTGAGTCTTGGAAAGTGTAAAACCACAGGCAGTGCAGTATTACTTGAGTATAAAGTTGATGGGAGATGTGGTGAAAGATGAGGCTGGGTAGGTGGACAAACTAAGGCCCATGGATTTTATTCTGCAGGCATTAAAAGAATCTACCAAAGAGAATGTCATAGAAAGGTTTTCTTTTTTTAGAAAACAAATTGAAAATTTGTTTGAAGAATAATGTAAATAAAAGGTGATGAGAATGTGAATAAAAGCTATAGTAGAGGAGGCAGAAAGAAAGTAGCATAAATAAGAAATAGGTTATAGAGGACCTAATAGTAACTGATATTGGGAAATCATGGTTAATCAGTGGTTTCTAGACAGGGTAAAAGAACAACTTATAAATACCTCACCTCATCAGAGCCATTTTCTGAGGAAAGGAATACAAAAGAAAAATATGGTTTGGGTAGGGCTGGTATCAGTTGATAAAATTTATTCTGAGGTCTTGATGAGACACTAGAAATGAAGACATGGGTTTATATAATGGTGACCCACAAAATAATTAAAATAAGGCTCTGTTCACATAAAATATTGTGAGGATCTTCCATTATTCCAGTTCATTCTAAATAGTGTTTAAAAATAAAACAAAAATTTAAAAGGCAAGCTACAAGGGAAAAAAATTATTAGAAGACTATAAACTATTCCTTTATACAAATGTCAGGGAATTAATTACTATGCAAAAAAAGAGATAATTTAATAAATGGGACATTTATAATCTGAAAATGGCAATGAAGTCTTAAAAAGATCTGTTTACAGAATCAAATTCTATAAACATCTAAGAAGTTCCTATTGTATGCAAAAACACTATAAAAGGGCTAGGCAATAGCAAATTATAAAAATAGCTCTACAACATGGCCTGGGCAAAGATTTTTTTCTTTTTATAAAACCCCTAAAACACAGCAGCAGAAGCAAAAGTAGATAAAAGGAGCTACATTAAAATAAAAAGCTTCTTCACAGCACAGGAAACAACTGAGAGACTGAAGAGACAACTTACAGATGGTGATAAAAATACTTGCTAAGATATATCTGGTATATCAGATAAGGAGTTAATATAACAAATATATAAGAAACTCAAACAATGCAACAGCAAGAAAGTAAATCACCAGATTAAAAATAGATCAAGAATACGAATAGACATTTCTCAAAATAAGACACACAAATGACAAGTATATGAAAAATGCTCAACATCACTGTTAGGGTAATTGAGGCTTTCAGCCCACTCAGCTGAAACCAGCCATGATAAGAAACTCAAACAATGCAACAGCAAGAAAGTAAATCACCAGATTAAAAATAGATCAAGAATACGAATAGACATTTCTCAAAATAAGACACACAAATGACAAGTATATGAAAAATGCTCAACATCACTGTTAGGGTAATTTGAGGCTTTCAGCCCACTCAGCCTGAAACCAGCCATGACTAACATGACCCAAGCTGCCACTACTGGAACAAAGGGAGGTGGAACGGTTTCTGGGAACAGGGACTGTTTCTGGTTAATCTTGCTAAACGGTATGTGAGTCAATGAGTTAAGACACCTGGTGTTTATCAAGTTCCTGATAAGTAATCTTTAAGTAATCTTGCCCCACCACCAGGATGTGGGTGATATCAGAAATATGTGACCCCAGGGGCCATAAAAATTGCTGTGTGACCATGACTAATGTTTAAAAAATATAAAAGCAGCCTGAACTTTGTATTTGGGGTCCTCGTTGAAACCTGCTGTGTCGGACGGATACCTGGACTCCAGCTAGCTGGAAATAAACCTCGCTTTGCAGCTTACATTATCGTGAGTGTCTTTTGTTCCTCTGAGGGGTGGTCGACCTCAGACCCCAACATCTGGAGGTTCCACCAAGATTTTGGCCCCTCCATGAGAGGAACAAACGGCCTCTGATACCGAGGTTTAGTTGAGAAAGACCGCGCAAGGAGGATTGGCCACCTCCGTTTGGAGGGACCTGGGGTCCCCGTCTGAATTTGGTTGGGAATTCTCGTTGAGTGGAAGGAAGGGGTTACAGCCCTGGAGGCTCCACTATTGGAAGTCGTGGGAGACATCCCCGAGTCAGGAACTGCGCCGACGTCCTCAGTGGACGCCATTTGGGTGGTCTTTGGGTAAGGATCCTGAATCTGGTGTGAATGGAATTACGTCTGTGAGAGTAGTCTGGTTGACCGCCAGTACTTGTGCATGTTAGAGAGTCCTGTGCGAATTTGTTTGTCTGCTGGAATTGTCGCTCTTGTTCTTTGTTGTCTCCTCTGTCCCTCTCTCCTGATCATCATGGGACAGGCTCAGGTAACTCCTAAGACCCTCTTTCTGAGTCATTTTTCAGAAATCCATGCTAAGGGACAAAAGTATGGCGTGGAAATTAAGAAACGTAAGTTTAACACCCTTTGTTCAGCAGAATGGCCAACCTTCAATGTAGGCTGGCCTCCTCAAGGTACCTTCTCCTTGGACACGATTAAGAAGGTCCAAGATGTCATAAATAGACCCGGTCTTCATGGCCACCCTGATCAATATCCCTATATCCTTATGTGGCAGACTTTTGTAGAGGACCCTCCTCGTGGCTGCAGCCATTTATCCATGAGTCACCTGCAGACCAGCCTATGATTACTGGCCATGTCAGGGAACACCCCCATTCCTGTTACCCCCATTCCCTAAAAAGCTTATTCTACAGGAAGAACCGATTCTCCATCCATCCTTGATAGACTTAGATTTTGAAGTAAATCCCCCACCATATGCCACTGCCGCGCCGCTCCAGCCAGAGGCAGCTGTCCCCCCTGAGCCTCCCCACTCGTCAGCTTCCCTGTCTGCACCCCCTGCCCCGGTCTCTGGCAAGGGGACTCAGGCCCCATAGGCAGCGAGAGGAAACCCCAGAGGAGGAGCCCTCCTCCACTTCCACCGGGGTCCCCATCCTCAGTGAGGGCCCTGGGTGGTGCTGGTCCCAATGGGGGACGCACCTGTCAGTATTGGCCTTTTTCAAGTAGTGACCTGTACAACTGGAAAGCCCAGAATCCTCCTTTTTCTGAGGACCCTAGAGTCCTGACTGATCTGTTCGAGTCCATTTTGCATACTCACAGTCCCACATGGGATGACTGTCAGCAGCTCCTTAAGACTCTATTCACCACCAAGGAACGGGAGCGGATTCTCACTGAAGCCAGAAAGAATGTCCCCGGCGACAATGGACGACCGACCACCCTGCCGAACCTGATTGATGATCGTTTTCCTTTGAACAGACCTGACTGGGACTATGGGGATGCAGAAGGTAGGGAGCGTCTCTGGGTCTACCGCCAGACTCTTATGGCAGGCCTCCAGGCGGCAGCTCGCCAACCTACCAATTTGGCTAAGGTAAAGGCAATAATGCAGGGGGAAAATGAAAGCCCGGCCGCGTTCCTTGAGCGTCTTTACAATGCATACAGACAGTATACCCCCCTAGACCCACTAGCAGAGGTGAATCAGTCAAAGGTTTTAACACCCGAGAAACCCAGAAGAACGAGAGATAGAAATCAGGAAGGAGAATCAGGAACTACAAGAAAGGATTCGGAAGGAGGACAGGGAACACCAGATAAGGACAACAAGAAACAGCAAAAGAGATGGCTAAGATATTGCTAGCAGGAGTCCAGGGCTGGACCGAGCTCGACGGACCGGCCCCTCATGTCCCCAAAGAGATCGACCCAGGCTAGACCGGACAATGTGGCCTATTGTAAGGAATATGGACACTGGAAGAAGGAATGTCCCAAACTCCAGGGTCACCGGGACCAAATAGCAGGCCCAATAATGACGCCTGGGTCCTGTTAGCCAGAATGG